CAGCCTCGAGGCCCTGGCACATCACGTCAACCGCTTCACTGAGTTGGCACGGGGTGGACAGATACAGCTACAGATACAGACTCACTGCTACCTCACTGCCATTGGCTCCAAATGGCTCCAGTGTTTCATACAAGGATCTTTCCAGAAGCTACCTAGAAAGGCCACATGTTGAACCTGAGCTTTACCGCATGCTAAGCAGATATGCGGTATCTGCTTAGGGACGCGGTGGCTTAGTGACTAAGATGCTGAGCTTGTCGATCAAAAAGGTCAGCAGTTTGGCAGTTTGAATCACTAGCACTGCGTAATGGAGTGAGCTCTCGTTACTTGTCCCAGCTTCTGCCAACCTAGCAGTTCAAAAGCATGTAAAAATGCAATAGGGACCACCTCTGGTGGGAAGGTAACAGCGTTCCGTGCGCCTTCGGCATTTAATCATGCCGGCCACATGACCACGGAGACGTCTTCGGACAGCGCTGGCTCTTCGGCTTTGAAACGGAGATGAGCACTGCCCCCTGGAGTCGGGAATGACTAGCACGTATCTGCGAGGGGAGCCTTTACCTTTACCTTATAATTGAAAACAGAAAAAAAAAAGTTGAGCTAACAAGCTGATTGTAACCCCCCATAAGGACTAGAATACAGGGAATCGTCAACCCACGACCCAACAATTGAGCCCCAAATTTATGGTTGCTAAGCGAGACATTTGTTCAGTGAATTTTGACTCGTTTTAGGACCTCTCTTGCCGCCGTTGTTAAGTGCATCCCCGCAGCGGTTAAGTTAATATCCCAGTTGTGAAGTGAATCTGATTTCCTTGTTGACTCTGCTTGTCGGAAGGCTGCCTGGGGATGCTGCATCCGTCATAAATGCGAGTCAGTTGCCAAGGGTCTGAATTTTGATCAAGTGATCCCATAACCGACATAAGTGTGGAAAAACGGTCATAAATCACTTTTCCCGGGGCCGCTGTAACCAAACAAGCAAATTGTTCACCAAATAAACTGTTGCAAGTTGAAAGCCACCGATATAACTTAAATAAGATATATATGTTATTTGAAATGCAAAGAGGAATAGCAGAGTCGGAAGGGACCTTGGAGGTCTTCTAGTCCAACCCCCTGCCCATGCAGGAAACCCTAATGGCTGTCCAATGTCTTCTTAAAAACCTCCAGTGATGGAGCCACCCACAGCTTCTGGTGGCGAGTCGTTCCACTGGTTAATTGTCCTCGCTGTCAGGAAATTTATCTTTATTTCCGTGTTGCTTCTCTCCTTGATTAGTTTCCATCCGTTGCTTCTTGCAATGATGCCTTCATCCCTTCGTAGGGTGAGATATAAAGAGATTATTTAATGGAGATTGGAGAAAAGCAGTAAGGCCATGCAGAGGGGTGTTACACGAAGCTGAGCAGGGCTTAAGAACTCATTCGATTTAATGATCAACTACATTTTGTTTTGAGGTGGATGTTATGAAGAACGCCTATAACCAAGGCCTTGACAGCGATCAAGAAGAGAATGGAGACGACAATATTTCACCCAAAGATGTTGGGCATAATATCTATATATTAGCCCACCAGGTATGTTGTTATCAAATATAGAGACCGCCCACCTCACTCAGAGCGGGCACCCGAAAAATATTAGATTGCAAATCTTTCTTTTAAAATATCAAAGCGGGCTATGCAATAGATGGATGGTCCATTTATTTATTTATTTGTTGTTGTTCTGATTTCCTTTTCCTTTTCTCTCTCTCTCTCTCTCTCTCTTTCCTTTTTTCCTTTTTTTCCCCCCTCCTTCACTTTTTTTATTGTCTCTTCAGGTTCAAAAGTTTTATTTCTTTTAAAACAAACATTTCATCATTCCTCAATCAGTAAGACATCGAAGTACAATTTTTCCTTTTAGATGGGTGACATGATTAGAAGTTAGGAAAGGCCGAAGTAATATTTTTTTCCCCATAAAATTTGATACGATTAAAAGCGAGAATAAGTGATAGAAACAAGAGGAGGGGGGATATTAGCGCATGCACTTTATAATAATAAAAGTAATAATAAGATACAACGTGGAATAATTGAACGATGATGGACCGTAATCTAATATAAATGTGTATTATTGCTAGAAATACACGAGTTGATTGAATGCAATAATTATGATTAATTTCATTAGTTTTACTTGTAGGTGTGACACACAGTTGTAACGCTGTTCACGCATTGATTTGACATATTTCTTGGGGTAAAAAAAACCATTTGAAAATACTAGATTGCAATTGTTAACATTATTAGATTATAATCCTCTTAAATTTATTGGTAAAGTTAACAACGATGACAAATTAAAATCAAATGCTTATATAAAGCCCAAGGAGATTATATAAATCATGTTTTGACATGAGGATAATTAATTCGTTCCCAAGTTGTCTAAATGGCTCCTTATCAAGAGCCAATTGTCAAAATTGAACCCTAAATCATATCCAAGCTGTTTTTTCCCAGACCTATCCCCAAAACCCATCTAAGTGAAGTTAAAATGTTTGTCGTCACATAAATAAATCTTAACATTTCCAGGTCTGTGCATTTTTTAAACAGAATGAATTTGGAGACAAATACTGCGCCGCTGGTCACATCTTTTGATCTTGAAAAGAGAGATTTATACCCCTTTCCTGAGTAAGCTTTGTTACGGATACGTGTCAAAAACTGCTTCCTTAAGTGATTTTTATCTCCTTCGTATTTCTTTTTCTGCTTCCTGCTGTTCAGTTCTTCACAACTCACGTCCTCCATCCTGGGAACGATTCTCGTTAGCTACATATCAATAAATCTCCCACTTTTGATGCATTTTTAGAACAGACTGGCTCCATTCAGCTGTTCTGACCCAGCCTTAGCAGGAGCAAGAAACAGACTCCTTGTTCCCCAAAATCCCTCTTTCTTTACCTCTTGTGAATTAATTGCATTCCCCCACCGAAAAGTTCAAGCAATAGTCCTTCAAAGAGTTAACCGTAGTTAACCGTAGTAGCATTTTATCAGTTCCTTGTGTTGTTGGAAATGACAGGACACACAAGCCAGCTCTTCAGAGAAGGAAAAGTTTATTGGTGCAGGTTCATAACAAAGAATAAATGGCCTGAACAGCGAGTGAAATTCAGGAACTTCCTTATATAGTTTATCACTTTCAGCTAAAGCCATCTGTTTGTTTTGGAA